GGGCACGTGTGGCAGGCGGTTGCTGAGGCAGCTGCGGCGGCAGCTCTGCAGGCAGCAGGGCAGCTCCTCGCTGTCCGACAGGGTCACCTGCGCGCCGCACCGGGCGGCCACCACGCCCGGCAGGCTCACACCGGCTCCGATCTGCAACCACAGCGTGTCCGTGGGGTCGGGCCCGCGGGCACCCGCGAGGTGTCGGGGTGCGGGCAGGGCCGTACCTCCAGCACTCGCCTGCCGGGCAGGCTCCGCCGCTGCGCCCACACGTACTGCGCCAGGACCACGGCGCTGGGCCACGCGTACAGCCCGTACTGCGAGTCCAGCACCTGCAACACACGGGGCGGGGCGCTGGGCCGGTGTTCCCAGGTACCCCCGCTATTCCCGGGGATCCCCGGCATTCCCGGCGTGCCCCGGCTGTCCCCGGTACCTCGGGCACACGCACGGCCAGCGCCGCCGGACCCTCCTCGAAGCGGTACCGCCGCGCGCGCCGCCGCGGCTCCGCCATGGAACCAATGGCGGGCGGACACGTGAGGGCGCCGGGCTGCGCCGGCCAATCGGCGCCTCCTTTCGTCGTGACGTCACGCGGAGCGCCGCTGCGGGTGACGATGGCGGCGCCTGCCCCGGGCACCGCTGGCACAGCAGGCCGCGCCCGCCCGCACCGCCGCCCCACCGAGGCGCTGCGGGCGCCTCCGCGGGCCAGGGCCAGGAGAGTGGAAGAAGCCGTGATGCGCGGCCGGCCCGCCGCTGTCAGCAGAGCAGGAAGCGCAGAGCGCGGGCCCGCCGCGGGACGGGGAGCGGCGGCGGCGGCGGAGGATCCCCGGGGCTGCCAAGGGCGCCCGCGCTCCCTCCGCGCTGCCCTTCCTCAACATGGCGGCGCGGGGGCGCCGCTTCCCCGGCCTCGGCCAATTAACGTCGGGGCGTGGCGGAAACCGCGGCACAACCAGCCAATGGGAGCGCGGCGGGGGCGGGGCCGCGGTCACAGCGGCGGCACCGGGTGAAATTTCTGGAAGGTGCGGCCGGAACGGGGCCGGCACCGGGATCGGGATCCGGGGAAGGTGACGGCGGGCGGTGACGGCCCCCAGCACCGCCGCCGCCGCCGTCATGAACCACAAGAGCAAGAAGCGGATCCGCGAGGCGAAGCGCAGCGCCCGCCCGGAGCTGAAGGACTCGCTGGACTGGACCCGCCACAACTACTGCGAGACCTTCCCCCTGAGCCCCGCCGCCTGCAAGGTCTGAGGGGAAAGAGAACGGTGGGAATGGGATGGGGGAGAATAGGGAGGGGGGTACGACTGGAGGAGTCCTGAAGGGAACGGAGGGCGCCTAAGAGACTTGGGGGGGACACGAGTGAGGGAATTGGAGGGAGTCCTGAGGGGAATAAGGAGGTCCTAAGGGAACGGGAAGGGGAAATGACCCTCTTGAGGGGGGACTGGGTGGCCTGAGAAGAATGAGGGTCAGAGGGGAAGGGTGCGGAAGGGGGGATGAAAGGATTGGAGTTGCCTGAAGGGGGAGTCTGAAGGGAAGGGGCCCTTTCCCGAGGCCGAGGTTGCCCCAGAGCTGGCGGGGCTCTCCGCTGTGAGGGAGAGGTCCGGGAGGGGGAGGACAAGCAGCACCCACGTTTTTTTCCTCCCTCCACGTGGCGAGGGGTGCGGGGAGGTGCGGGCCCGCCGGGGTGGGATGGGCACCCATATAATTCCCTGGAGTCCTCCCTTGTGTCCTCAGGGGGTGGAATGCGGCAGCGGACGTGTCAGCCGAAAGGGCAGCGTGGCCTCGAAGGGGAGCAGTGCCAAAGGCTTCAGGCTGCCCGTGACACCGGTGTGTGCGGGGAGCGGGCCAGGAGGAACAGGGCTGCAGCCTCGGGGAGCTTAAAATAACACGTAGGCAGCTCCGTCCCCTCGCGGTGTGTGAAGGAAGCTCCCCCACTGGGAAGCGCGGTCCTAGGACGTCAGCCTGTCCTGATACCTGTTCTGCTTCCCTCCCCGGTCTCACAGGATAACGTGGAGAGGGCAGATGCGCTCCAGCTGACGGTGGAGGAGTTCGTTGAGCGCTATGAAAAGCCTTACAAGCCCGTGGTGTTGCTGAACGCCCAGGTGGGCTGGTCTGCCCAGGAGAAGTGGACGCTGGAGCGGCTGAAACGCAAATACAGGAACCAGAAGTTCAAGTGTGGGGAGGACAATGACGGTTACTCTGTGAAGATGAAGATGAAGTACTACATAGAGTACATGGAAACCACACGTGATGACAGCCCCCTGTACATCTTTGACAGCAGTTATGGGGAGCACCCCAAGCGCAGGAAACTCCTAGAGGATTATAAAGTGCCCAAATTCTTCACGGATGATCTCTTTCAGTATGCAGGGGAGAAACGGCGGCCACCCTACAGGTACAGTGCAGGGACAGCAAGACAAAAAGGACTATTTCTCACCTCCTTGGCTATTCCTGAATAGCTGTGATTGTCTCACATTAAAAAAAAAAAAGTACAGCTTTAATTTGTCTCTTAAAATAAGAGTGTACATCTGTAATCCAGAGGAAGAGAAGATTTGTGTGTAACAAATTCTTGTTCTCCCACCAGAGCTGCTACAAGTTTATGGGTTTTTTTCCTTTTTATTTTTCCTTTTTGTTAAGTCAGTTTACATCACTTCTTAGATTTTTTAAAATCTACATAGTTACTGAAAGATATGAGGATTGATTTCTTGCTCTGTGTGCCTTCTGGCTCTCAAATTTTAAGCACCTCAGGACTGGCTCCTGGGTTTTGCACCAGTGGCTTATGTACAGTGTGGAATTTTGTTTAATTATGAGTCAGTCCTTTTAAAGTAAAGATCTTAAACTAGATTAGGATCTAGTGTAGGACTAGTTCTTAGCTTTCCTTCAGATGATTTTGAGAGAGAACAATATTTTACATCCATGTAGTCTTTTCAACTCTATTTTTTCTTCAGATTGGAAAAGGATTGAAACAACTCTTCAGTCATGAATTCAAACGCAACAACCTTGTATTTTCACTGTTAGATATAAAAGCCATTTCTCTCTATGTTGATGCAACACTTCATAGCAGTATGAGCATGAGCTGAACCCTCCCAAGTAATTAAAGTCTTTACAGCAACATTATAATTGTCAGACAATGCCTTTTGCCCTCTGAGTGACATGAGGCTCTGATGTGGTTTATTTAAATAAAACAGAACAAGTCATGAATAATGTACTTCCCTCTGCACTCTCTCACGTGTCTGTAGTCCAGTTGTGATTTTGCAGGAGTGAAGCAGGAGCTTAATTCCATTTAAGATCACTGAAGTGGGCGTTTTTACAGTGTTGTAGCAGATGCTTTTTATAAAGCTCTTCTAAGAACGTACTGCTGTGATTGAACACAAAAGCACAGTATCTGTAGTAGAAACTGAATACACTTACAGGACTGGGAATCATTTATCCAAGTTACAGGTAAACAAGATAATCTGGTTGTGATTCATTTATATTGGTGCCTCTCTCCCCCACACCCTCCCCACCTACATGCACATGCTGAGCCTCTTTGTGATCTTGGTATTCACATTTCTTGTACTTTGTTCAGGAAAATGTGGGTTTGTTTCAGGCTGTTAGTGTTTTTTTGAGAGATGAATGATGCACGAGAGAGCACACTGATGCCTTCTGGAATTAGAGGGTTCATCTGGGTACAGAAATGGATGAAAAGTGCCCAGGACTTTCAGAGCATAATTGAAAACGTGACAGGAAATGGTACAAATCATATGATGAGGATATGACCTGTACAGGTTGGCCTCTGAGTTGAGAGGTGTGTGATAGTGTGTAGACCTTAAAGTAAGAATTGGTGCTGTTCAGAGCATTTTTATTGGTGTTGTTCCTCTCTAAGATAAAGTCAGTAATTTTTGGAAGCCATTGGCTGGAGCAGCTCTTTTAGTTTGGGGAGAGGGGTTGGGGTTTGCTTTCAGATTGAATTTAGGAGACAAGAAGTTTTTAACGGTAAATTTGATGTCTTGTGGCAAATTGGGTTTTGTTCATTGTAAGTTAATTGCCTGTAGGAAGATGCTGGTAAATGACAGTGTTGCTAAATAAGGGTTTTAAAACCTGCATGTGTAGATTCAGGTTATTGTCAGGAAAATGGTATTGAGCAGTGCATCTGTCTGTGCCAGTCGGATCTCCATGAGTTTAATGTTTTCTGTCTTCTTAGTGAAAGCCTTGACTGTTCTGCTTGTGGTTTAACCAGCTTTCCAAGGCTAATATGAATCTGAAGAGTGAGCTGACAATAGAAATTATGAACACCTGCTTCTTTACAGCTCCTTTGTGAAGAAGGAAGAAAGCAGCTTGATAATCAAACTTACAGTCCTACAATTGGTGCTGGCAAATGATCCTTGACGACCAGCTGGATTTACACCTGCACTGGAAAGGGCAGATGGAGAACTTGCTGATTTCCAGTATTTTCTGAACCTCTGCACTCCTGTTGCTGGGCATCACCTGCCTGTCAGCCACACCATGGAGGGATCTTGCTGTTGCTCTAATTTCTATACTCTCTGCTACCAATCAAGCATTTATTGCCATTTTTATCTCTTGATGCCTGGTGTTAAGTCACCTCACGCTGCTTTTTCTAGAGTAGATCTTACTGCTCCGTTAAGGGGAAACGAGCAGTTGAAGGTGCTGCTGCAGTTGAACAGATAGAGTAGATAAAGTTCTCTTTTGGAGAAATAAACCTTAAAAGTGGGAAATGGGAATGTCTACCACAAATCCTGAACGGTCGCTGGGGAACAAACTCCATGTAGTCAAATGTTGGAATGAAAAGCCTGTTGTGACCAGAAGGCGCAGAAAGAGGCCAGGGTTGCGTAACTTGTTCTGTTCCTTGTGTTGCCTTTTGTTTGTTCCTCATTGTTCTGCAGTTCTGGATCTGCTTGAGCAGCAAATTTTAGAAAAATGTAGGAGAATCCCCCTGCCTAGATCCTAACACAGGCTGTTGTGACCTAACAGCATTCATTACCCTTGAAATCACTATATGTTGTACTGAAGAAATGTTTAAACCAAAATGCAGCTATGAAATATAAAAAGTTATCTTCGCTTTCTTATCCTGCAGTCATTCATGTTGGTTTTTAGGTTAAACTCCCGTTGTATCTTTTTGCTGTAGTGTGAATCTAACAAAATCAGGAATGTAAATGAAAGAATTGTAACTATTTTGATTTCTAACTGTCTGATGTGAAGGAAGGGAGCTACTTGCTTGCTCTGTGACTAAAGGACTTTCTTTATTCCCATGCAGATGGTTTGTGATGGGCCCACCTCGATCTGGAACAGGAATTCACATCGATCCCTTGGGAACTAGTGCGTGGAATGCCTTAGTCCAGGGACATAAGCGGTGGTGCCTGTTCCCAACCAGCACTCCCAGAGAGCTCATCAAAGTGACTCGAGAAGAGGGAGGGAACCAGCAGGACGAGGCAATCACTTGGTTCAACGTCATCTACCCTCGGACACAGCTTCCCACCTGGCCCCCCGAATTCAAACCCCTGGAAGTCCTACAGAAACCAGGCGAGACAGTCTTTGTGCCAGGTGTGTACAAATCTCTCCAGCAGGGAAATCTGGGAGAGAAAAGCGTATTTTTAATATATTCATGTGTTACAGAGGTGAAGAGAGTATTTCAGCTTTTTTATACAGCCCATCTCTTACAGATAAACTCTCCTGAGCTCTTTCAAAAGGGATACATAGTGCAATGCTTGTTTTGAGGCTATCCAGTTATTTTTGGAATGTCCCAAAATGTGCATGGCCTGTGGCATGGGATTGCATGTGGTACAGATGACAAAACAAGAGGGACTTGAGTGGCAGCATCACAGAAATGTGATCCTGTACTAAATTGCAGTAACAGGAAACTGTCTGGGCATAAACTAAGAAGTATTTGAATACTAATAACTGTTAGACAGAAATGTTTGAGTTCACATACACTGTAGCAAATTCATGACTGAATTTTGTAGCCTGGTTAGTTTGACTGCATGTGAATTTTTCTTAGCTGTGGGAAATGAACTACTTAAAGGCACTGACACCTTCCACCCACCTCTCTGTGGTTATGTTTCATCTTGCATTTGAAATCAAAAGCTAAAGAAAGCTCTGCTAAAGATGCCCTTCTCTTTGAGTGGCTGCCCACTGTGTGCCCATTGTAACTGGGAGGTGAGGTGGTGGTGGATGAACACGTGAGTTCAGTGCCAAATTCTAAGGTCCGAATCTTGCATCATTTTAGTGCAGCACAGCCCTTAGCTTCTGTCCACATTGCTTGTCTCTAACATACAGCTGACTTCGCGTGTGAAGAGTGCCTTGTGATTGTCTTGGCACTTATTAGTGACTCCTCAGTGTACCTTCTGTTAAGAGTTTGTAGCTGTCGGGTTCCATTAAACTGTTCCCTTAGTCTTTTATGAGGTTATAAGTGGGTTGTAAGAACTTCACTGTCTATTTTTATCCTGTGCGGGGAAACGATTTTGCGTCTATTTTTAAATGAAAGGTTAGTCTGTAGTCATAAGAACCTTACAAAATCAGCGTGGAAAGTGCTCTCCAGCTGGACAGAAAGGGCCTCTGTGCAGTCTGGGTTACAATGGCTCCTGCTGTTAAATAAACCATCAGTAGCCAGTGTGTTGCTGTCAAGTCAGATCTTTTTGTGAGCTGGGTAATTTGGTCAGAGTGTGGAGCAGCCTTCTGTAACAAAACCTGTCAAGCACTGGAGTGAGAGCTGAAATTAGCCTGAGGAAAGATGATGTGGTGGCAAACTTGCCTGAGTAGGGGGAAGTAATGTCCAGTTTCCACCTGCACTATGGGAAAAGTGCTCTTGGCTGTTCTTGAACTTGCTCTCTGCCATGTAGCCAGCAGTGGTCATTGGTGTTGTGTTTTAGGTGGCTGGTGGCATGTTGTTCTCAACCTTGACACGACTATTGCCATCACACAAAACTTTGCCAGCTGTACCAACTTCCCCGTGGTGTGGCACAAGACGGTGAGAGGGAGACCCAAACTGTCACGGAAATGGTACAGGTGAGAGGTTTAGTGGCTTTCTTTTCATGTTCTCTATTTAAAACAAAACCTAAAAATACTCGTTTACACGCAGTGTTACAGTTCAAAGGCTAACCCTGAAATTTCGACTGTGTTTAGGATCCTAAAGCAGGAACATCCTGACTTGGCAGCCTTGGCTGATTCAGTTGACCTGCAGGAATCTACTGGTATTGCTTCCGACAGTTCGAGTGATTCTTCCAGTTCCTCAAGTTCCAGCTCCTCAGACTCTGATTCAGAGGTAATGCTTTTTACTGCAATAAGTGATCCATATTCTGAAATTGTATTGCTTTTTCCATACCTGATCATGTGTCCCGATCCTAATTTTCCTGTCTTATGGAAGAAATTAATGGAAAGCACCTAAACAAATCTACATTGTGGAGGAGCATGTGGTCTTGGCAGGTTCTGTTTGCTGAAGTCTCTCTGTGTTGCTAAATGGATTTGGTTTGTTTGATCTGTGTCTGCGTTATATATGAATCTGTCACTCATTTAGCTAAGTCATGCTTTGTAAAATGGCTGCAAAATGAATGTTCTAAAAATGGGGAGGAGGAACAAGATCCAAAACAGATCAGTTATGACAGGGGACTCTTCTAGGCACCTAAATCTATCAGGAGCCTCTGAGTCTGCTCTTGGAAGATGAGATCCTTCAAGGATCCAAAAGGAACACATTCACATTGTCTTGCCCCAGTCAGCTTTAGTCAGTGATGAAATCTAAGAACGTTCCTGATCCCGACTTTTAAGCGCTTAATTTGAAATTTGTTTCACGTGTTTAACCTCAAATAGCACGTTCTTTGAACGTGGATTATTCGGGGTTGCTGAGGCAGCTCTGACGGTGAATTCCACAGCACAAATTCTGAATTCTGGTTTCATCTTTCCACTCTTCAGTGTGACTCTGGCTCCGAGACAGAGGGGATGATGCACCGGAGGAAAAAGCGGAGGACGTGCAGCATGATGGGGAACGGGGACACAACCTCCCAGGACGACTGTGTGAGCAAAGAGCGCAGCTCCTCCAGGTGACCAGATGGCATCTGTTGTTTTTAAACAAGCACAAGACAGAGGCAGAGCTGGCAGACTTCAGATAGGTGATTCCTCAGGACAGAGGGATGGAGAGCAAGGGATTCCTTACAGGACATAAAGCAGTTGGCCAGTGGTGGTGTCTTCCCTCCATGAGTTATTTTAATTGCTCCAAATGGAAAACTAATATTCTTGATATTTTTTAAAACTAGGGGTTTTATTTAATAAACAGTTCATTTGTTTTCCTAGTTGTCTGTTTTAATAGAGGTAAGGATTTGATTTTATTTTTGCTTAGTGGTCTGAGAGGTGGAATGTTTTAACTGTGCTCTTCAGAGAGCACAAATGAATAGTGAACAGTTAAAGATGAGGAATGGTCAGGCAGGAGTCAGATTTCCCTGTCTTGTTCAAACAGAAAACCTTCAAGTAGTTGTACGGTTTTTCTTATTGTTGCCTTGATTATTTCAATTTGATCCACTGTTTTATCTGTTAAAGGCAAAACTCATCCAAAATTCCAAATGTCTGTGTTTATATTTCAAATTAATAAATAAATGACAAGCAAGTTTCAGTCAGTCTGGAAGGAGGGAACATTAATATTGCAGAACCAAGAATAGATATGCTTAGAGTAAAGTTGCTGAAGAAGGCAGTTCTCTGGACTTGCCAGGTTGAAAACAGTGGGACACTGGGAATCTGGGGGTATGCTGCAGGGAAGAACTTAGACATTCTCTGCTGAATGAAGCATTTTTCTCATGTAGCAGAGGCTTGCCAAAATTCTTAAGCAAATTCCTTGCGGCTTGGTTGCTGGACTGGCTGCCTGCCTGCAGTAGGGTGCTGGCTAGTTCCTGAGCTGTTGGATGCTGCAGGTTTGGCATGGATGCAAGTGCTGTGGTGACTTACTGTGTGGCCTGCTAAAGGTGGTGTGCAGCAGTAATTTACCTGAGGAATTCCATATTCCCAGCATTATGCCTGAATTCCCAGTGTAGGGTACTGCCTGAAGTCCTGTGTGCTCCTGTACTGCTCTCTTGTTTTCAGGAGTTGCTCATAACTGAATACAATTGAATTACAAGTACAGAGCATCATTAAACGTTGGGGAGAACTGTACTGACTGCTTGTTTTGCCCTGGAGGTTTTCACAATTTGTTTGTTACGACATTGTCAAATCCCATTTCAGCAGCCAGTGTGACTCCAGGCAGGGAACAAGCAGCAGGAGAGAACAAACCTTACTGCAGACCCTGGTTTAGAAAAAAACCTGTAAAAACGCAGATCTGTTCTTCTGAAAACCCTGTGCATTTTTAAATTGTTTGCAGTTCAAATTTTAAACCGAATACCTTAAATATTAAAAATTAGCACCTTGTCTAGAACATTTGCTTTCTGGGTTTCACTGTTCTTCCTCCTGCGTGTTGATTGCGAGGGTGGGTGGGCGTTCTGTTCCAGCTGTGTGATGGATTAGTTGATAGAAACGCTTCCAAACATGAAACCTTACCCTGCTTGTACAATTCTGGAGGAAGAAATAAGCCTGAAATTAATCTGCATGCTGCGATCTCGTGCCCTGATATGAGGGGAATGCTCAAAGGCAGTTGTACCTTTTTTTGACAGGATTAGGGAATCTTGCGGAGGCCGCAGCTACCCCTGAGCGATAACACCACCCGATCGAAGCTCCGTTAGCAGCCAGCCAGCTCTGTTCTACCCCCTCCTGCTTCTGTTTCTCACAGTCCTTACGTTTTTGTCACTCTTCCTCGATCCAGACATCTGTCTTCGTTATGTGCTGTCCAAGGTTGGCTCCTGAGTAGCTTGTAGGGGAATGCCCCACCACGTCCTTGTGCAATGCTTTGTCCCCCCTGCGCCCCGGGTGAGTGCACTATAACCCAGCTGTGGGTAAGGACACGCCGAGTGTTTAATGGGTCACGTAACTGGCAAGGAAGACAACGGTCAGTTTTTAAAGAACTGTTTTTAAAACCAGCAGGTAAATAAAAACCTGCCTTGCTTTGACACTGTCATATGTTTACATGTTGTCCTGTACACTTGAGGAAAGGAACACCAGCCCTGTTGGCCTAATAGGAACGTCCGGCGGATCTTGCACCGGAATTTTGGGAAGAAGGAGAAAGAAATTAGCTTCTGCAAGAACTGAGCTGTGGAAAATGGGTCTTTGGATCTTATCCTACTGCAGGAGAACGTTGCTGTTGGGGCTGGTGCTTCTGACTGCGGGTCACATAAAATCACAGAATACGCTGAGTTGGAAGGGACCCATCAGGATCATCGAGTCCAACTCCTGGCCCAGCACAGGACACCCCAAGAGTCACACCATGTGCCTGAGAGCGTTGTCCAAACGCTTCTTGAACACAGACAGGCTTGGTTCTGTGACCACTTCCCTGGGGAGCCTGTTCCAGTGCTCAACCACCCTCTGGGTGAAAACCTGGTTGTGATATCCAACCTAAACCTCCCCTGACTCAGCTCCAGCCGTTTCCTCGAATCCTGTCACTGGTCACAAGAGTGAAGAGATCGGTGCCTGCCTCTCCGCTGCCCCTCGAGAGGATGTTGAAGACCCCAGTGAGGTCTCCCCTCGGTCTCCCCCAGGCTGAACAAACCAAGTGACCTCAGCTGCTTCTCATAAGGCTTCTCCTCCAGTCCCTTCACCATCCTCATGGCCCTCCTTTGGATGCTCTCTAACAGCTTAACGTCTTTTTTCTGTTGTGTCCCCCCAAACTGCCCCAATGTTGCAGGTGAGGCCGCCCCAGGGCAGAGCAAAGCAGGACAATCCCCTCCCTGGCCCAGCCAGGGATGTTGGGCCTGATGCCCCCAGGACAGGGTTGGCCCTCCTGGCTGCCAGGGCACTGCTGACTCATGGCCAACTGGCCACTCACCAGGACCCCCAGGGCTGTTTCCCAGCACTGCTTTCCAGCCTCTCATTCCCCAGTCCATACACACAGCCAGGGTTGTTTGCCCTGTCCCAGGTGCAGAATCCACCACTTCCCCTTGCTGGACTTCACTCGGTTGGTGATTGCCCAGCCCTCCAATTTGTCAAAGTCTGGTGTCATCAGCAAACTTGCTCAGTATTCTTTTGAGTCCTGTGTCCAGGTCATTAATGAAGATGCTGAAGAACATCGGGCTGAGAATGGAGCCCTGTGGAACCCCAGTAGTGACTGATGCCAGCCTGATGTCACCCCAGTCACTGTCCCCCTCTGTGCCCAACCAGTGAGCCAATTGCTCACCCACCCTGTAACACGGTTATCCAGCTGTGGGCTGGACAGTTTGTCCAGAAGGATCCTGGCAGAGATGGTCTCAAAAGCTTTGCTGAAGTCCAAAAAGATTCCATCTACATACTTCCCTTGATCAACTAGGTGGGTTACCCTGTCGTACAAGGAAATCAGGTTCAACAAACAGGACTTTCCTCTCCTGAAGCCCTGCTGGCTGTGACCAATGACTGCGTTGTCTTTCAGGTGTTTTTCAATACCTTCCAGAATAATCTTCTCCATAACTTTACCAGGCACTGAAGTGAGACTGACAGGCCTGTAGTTTCTGGGGTCTACCTTCTTGCCTTTCTAGAAAATTGGGACAACATTCACCAGCTTCCAGTCAGCTGAGACCTCTCCATATTCCAAAGGCTTCTCAAAAATCATCGAGAAAGGTTTTGTGATGACATCAGCAGTTCCTTGAGGAATCCCATCAGGCCCCATAGATTTGTAGGGATCCAGCTGGAGCAGCAGATCCCACACAGTTTCAGGGTCAGCTGGGAGTTGATCATTCTCACAGTCATGGTCCTCCAGCTCAGGGCACTGAGACCCCCTTGGTCCATCATCTGTGTTGAAGACAGAGGCAAAGAAAGTGTTAAACACCTCTGCCTTGTCCATGTCCCTATTTGGGAGGGGACCACCCCCATCCTGGAAGGACTGATATTATTTCTCCACTGCCTTTTGCCATTAATGTATTTGAAAAAAACTTTTTATTGCCCCCCACATTTCCGGCAGCCTCAAACCCGGCTGAGCTTTGACCTCACGAATTTTCTCCCTACAACGACAAGCAGCGTCTCTGTTCTTCCTGTGTCACCTGACCTTGCTTCCACTGGGCACACGCCTTCCTTTTTCATGTTACTTCCAAGAGCAGATCCCTGTTCAGCCAAGGAATGGGGGGTGGTGTGAATGCTCCCAGCACTGAAGCATCTTCAGCGGAGGTGACCACCAACCTGAAGCATCTTTTGTGGTCTTAATCTACGTGCTCCATGCACACACCTGAGGTGCAACACCTTAACCAGCACCTGGCCATTTCCTTTTGCTCTGTGTCTGTTATGATGACAGGTAACAAAGCTGCACTAGCACCTCGTGACAGGAAACTCAGAGCAGGAGAATCCTGGAGTTTCTTGCACAACAAAAACTGGGAGAAAAGTCAGCATTTGCCAGTAATTACCATCCTTCGGGTGCAGGTGTAATATTTAGCACAAGGCAACTGCTGGCAAAGTCTGACTCTTACTTACATGATCACAGCAGTTGCTGGGCTTTAAATACCCAGCAGTTCTGGGGCTGTGGGCAGTTCACGTCCCTAAGTGGCTTTTCTTTGAGGTTGTGGGTTCAGATGTTTCTGAAACTTGCAGTGCCAATTTTAAAGGGCTGGGAGGGGGATGTATTGTTGTTTTATGCTTTTTGAAAATGCAGTGTGTTGCTTCAGTCTGTGTAGGTGCATTTGTATTATGCCTGGTAAAGCTCTCGTCCCCAAGGGATCTGTTGGAGCTGCTGGTTTGGTTTTTTAGCAGGCATGTCTGTCTGGCTCAAGGTGTGCTGCAAGGAAATCTGAACAGCACAGGCAGAAGCTGCCTGAGTTGGGTGCTCTTCCAGGGGTGCTCTCCTGAGCCCTAGGAGGTGGTTATAGGATCTCACTTTACTGGGAGAGGAAACTTGACAGCAGAAGTGCCATGTGTGTTGTAAACATGTAATAATGCCCAGGCACTGATTAAAGAGCAGATTGGCAGCCTCAACTGTGACTTTCTTACACATGTTGGGTCTGATGGAACTTGGAGCAATGCTTGTCTGGGTTTTCTGATCTTTTTTAACCTTGTCTTTTCCTATTTAAACACTTACTCCCTTCTTGGAGACCAGGCCATATCCTGTTGTACAAGGGAATCCTAAATATGTTTGTCAGGATCTCTGTTTTTGACTCTTCTGTGCCAGTCAGTTTGTGTAGGAGCAGCGTGGTGGCAGGGAAATGGTGAGAGGGAAGTTTTTTTGGTACACTTGAGCTGTCCAGATTCCCAAATTTTTTGTGATGACCAGGCATAAGCGAGCACCGCTCTGTACACTGTGCACATTGTTCCACAAAATTACTTTATTTAAAAAAAAACAAACCAATTTCTCAAACTACTGGTGTTTCTGGCCAGGGCAAAACAGCCTGGGAGCCTGCACAGTCTGTGTGTGTCTTCTCAGAGCAGGCTGCAGCTGCTGCCTTTTTGGAAGAATGTGGGGCCTGGAGAAGCAAAGGCTCACAAGGATCAGCTCTGCCACGGCAAGGGGAGTCCTTGGAGAGCTGTCCCCTGCCCGCTGTGGTGGCTGGGCAGCACCTCAGTGAGATGCAGTTGCATTGGGCATGTGTGATTCAGTTCTGCAGTCTTAAAATCTTACATGTGTGTGAACACCTGAGCCCTGTGCTGGGAAAGCCACACGTCTGCAGCACAGTGGGAAGATCAGAGTGCAGAGCATTCTTCCACGCCTGTGAACTCTTCCATGGTGTGAAATAACACAATTTCAGATGAAGCCTGTGTTGGTCTGACACCCCTCACAGAAAAGCAGCATTTGCAATGGACTGCAAGACATTGTGATACCAGCAACACTCTCCTGAGTGCTCCACAGGGCGCTTCCTGCCGTGAAACAGTATTTGTTCAGGCTACCTGGGAATCAGGACTCTGGGATCTCCAGTTCTTCCACTTACGGCTTTTGTCTCGGCCGAGTTGGTGAGATTCTGTCTTTGAGCAGTGAGGAAAATCCCTACCTCACAGGGGTGTTGTGAGGCTGAACTGTAATTACTGTCTGAGATGCTTTGAAGTCATCCACCCACAAAAAGTGTTCCATTCATCCCGAGCAACCTGAGACTTCCGAGCCTCGTGGTAGCTCTTTGCAGCGGAAAACATTGGGGATGTTGTTCAGCTCTCCTGGCCACGTGGTGTTCTGTGGTGGCCCTTCCAGAATTGCTGGTGGCACATAAACTGTAGCAGAACAAGGCTTTTTGTTTTCACCAGGGTTGAACTGTTGCTGTTTCATGGCCTGCTCTAAACAGCAGGTCCTGCTAGAGCAGGATTTGTTTTTAAATAGGACTAGATTAAATTCTCTCTCATCAGGGAGTCAGCCTCGCTGGCCTTACAGGAAGGGGGTGAGCTGGTGCTTCCCAGGCCCTCATTCCAGGCTGGATAAGTGAGGAACGAAGTTAAAAACTGTGCTCCCTTTGTGCCTAGCTCCGTGCTTGTGGGAGGCTGACTGGGGACAGTGGGGTTTGTGCTCTCACTTCTCCAGGCTTGTGCTTCTTGGGGCATCCATGTCTGTTGTTCCAAACCCTCTGCTTTTGTATCCTGTAGAGCCCCTGGATGCAGCTGGTCCAGCACCCAGACCCCGTGGGCCCCTCATTTCCTTGAGCCCCAGAGCAGCTCTGCCTCAGTGCCCTGGGCCTCAGGAGGCTGCCCTGTCCCCTGGGGATGGGCTGGGAGCCTTGGGCTGGGTTTGGACTGTGACCTTCGTCCTGCCTGCTCTGGGAAAGGTGGAGGGATTTGGGAGCTCCGGCCATGCTGTTGGGTCTGGTGACCGACACAGGCTGTGACAGTTCAGGAGGAAACAAACACACACTCGGTCAGACCCGCAGATGTGAACAAGAGGCTCCAGTCCTGGCACCTGTTCCCTGCACAAGTGCTGTGGGAGCAGGTGACGCTGAGGAAGTGCTGGCAGACCTTCCTCCCCTTTCCAGCTCATGTGCACTGGCTCCAGTTTGTCTTCTCAGTTACATTAAACCTCTCCAAGTGCTTAGA